AACATTTGTCACTTCAGTATACGCTCTGCTTGAACCTGAAAAAGTGTCTCATGGGATGGTAAACCAACATTATACATCTCCTTGGGATATGCAACTCCAAGTCTGTCCCCTGTCCACCAGCTAGGAGGAGAACTGCTACTTTGTTCTGAGAAATCTGGGAAAGCCCTTCACTTGCCCAGGCCTGGAGCTGACCTTAATCCCTAGTAGCACTGCCAATATCTCTCAAGGGACAGGTTTCATTTGTGCATCTACTCCTCTTGGTGAGAAGACTGGTTAAATCTTTCAATAGCCTTTTGGAAAAAGAAATTCAGCTCCTCAAAGTTCATGGCCTGGAGCTCCACATAAAGTTCCACCTGTTGGGTTTCTTCCAACTCATTCCATAACTGCAGCAGGTGTTCTTGCCCAGATTTGGACAACCTAAGTTTGAGGTCATTAACATTCACAGCGGTCTGGTGGCTAAGCTCTTCGAAAGCAGGTGTGATTTTTGTACCCGTGAACCTCCCCCAGCATGACTAAGGCTCTGCCTGGCTCCGGCTCCCTCGCCTAGGCCACTCATCAGCATCTCAAATTGTCAGAATACATACCTTCATCTAGGGGTGTGCAGGGAGGGGAGGGGTGCATGAGGGCAGCGCTGGCCACAGCCTCCCTGCTCCTTTCACCACACTGAGTCTTCTCTGCCTTTCTGTCTTAAACCCGGCTATAAAGAAACCTGCCTTATGGGATAGCAGATCATAAGACCCATTCTTTCATTTATTTATTTTGAGGCAGGGTCTCACTATGTAGTTCAGGCTGGCCTTGAATTCCCTGGGTAGCCCAGACTAGCCTCAAACTCACAGTGATACTCCTGCCTTAGCCTCCTAAGTGCTGGGATTACAGATGTGCACCACTACACCCAGCTAAGACCTCCATTATAGAGGGTGTCCCACCTAAGCCTAGGAAGAAGAAATGCTGCACAGAGTTCAAGAACAATCCAAGAAGACAGGTCCTGATGGGTTTCCCCACTTAGTCCATTTCCATGAGCTCACATTTTTTCTGTCCAATTACATTTGTGAAAGGTTGTAATGCTTCAATTATGCCTATGTCTCCATACAAGCTCAAAGGACAGGGGTCAGAGAGCTTCAGATAGCTGAACATATGGAGGTTTATAGGAAGGTGAGCAAGAACCTGAGTATATGACAGGAAGGTGGCTCCCTCTCTTTGGGATGGAGGCTCTTGAGCTCAAGACCTAGCCCTGTGTATCTCTTTATGTGGCTGTTTGTTTCCTTTACAATATCCCTGATAATAAACCAGCAAATGTAAATAAGTGTTTCCCTGAGTTCTGTGAGCTGCTTAGCAAATTCACTGAGCCTAAAGAATAAGTCAAGGAACTTACGATGGCACACACTTGTAATCCCAGCACTCAGGGGGCCAAGGCTGGAGAACTTAAAGAGTTCAAGGCCCGTCTGGGCTATCTATCAAGTTCAAGACCAGCTGAGCTACATAGCAAGACCCTGACCATCCCCCACCCTCAGAGTGGGTGATGGGAATCCTAATTTGTAGCCAGTCAAGTCAGAAGTTTCAGAGGCCTAGACTTTGAACTAGCATCTGAAATGGGAACAGTCTTCAGGACTGATTTCTCAATCTGTGGAATATGACACTATCTCCAGTAGACAGTGTCCGAACTGAACTTAGAGGATGCTCAGCTGGTGTCTGCTGCAGAACTGATTACTTGCTGGTAGGGAGAAATACCCACACATTTTGGGGTGAGGTGTGAGGTGATCTGTGTTTTCAGTGTAGAGTGGGAGAACCCAAGGCTTAATTTGTTTTTCCTCTATATCTTCCAGGATAGTTTCTCAATATTTTTTGGTCTTTCACAATCTTGATACTTTTGAAGAGAACTGTTCAATAACTCTGTAGAATGTTTCAATTTGGGTATGTCTCGGGATTAGATTAAAATTGGGCACTTATGACAATTTCTTGGTATACAACCAGTAAGTGTATGATGCTGATGTCTTATGACTGGTGACATGTAAAAAGCTGAGTTCTAAATGACCAGATTAGTTTTCCATTGCTGCTAGAACACCACTGCAAATGCAGTGGTGTAAAACCATATAAAACTCCATTTTATATTGTCTTATACTGGTATTAAGAGAAACAGACTTTGCAGGACATAAGCCTTTTACACACCAGTAATGAACTAGTTGAGAAAGAAATCAGAAAAAAATTCCATTCACAATAGCTTAAAAACAAAGCCAAACAAAACCTAGTATTCACCCTAATCAAAGACATGAAGAGATCTCTACAATGAAAATTACAGGCCTCTGAAGAAATTGAAGAAGACACTAGAAGACAGAAAGCTCTTTTCATGGACTGGTGGAATTAAAGTTGTTAAAATGTCCATATTACCAAAAGTGATATGGAGATTCAATGCAATCCCCACCAAAATTCCAAAAACATTCTTTATGGAACTAGATAAAACAACCCTAAAATTCATATGGAACCACAAAAGACTCAGAATAGCTAAAGCAAAAAAGCAAAGTTGGAAGCATCACAATACTTAATTTCAAATTGTATTACAAAGCCATAGTAACAAAACTAGCATGGTAATGGATCAAAAACAGACACACAGACCAATGGACCAGAAGTGAGGACACAGAAACAAACCCACACAACTATAGCTATCTAATTATGGACAAGGAGCCAAGAACATATGTTGGAGAAAACACAGTCTCTTTATCAAACAGTGTTAGGAAAACTAAATAACCACATGCAGAAGACTAAAACTATTGAAATTGAAACGCTCTTACCTTGTACAAAAATCACTTCAAAATGGATCAAAGACCTAAGTGTAAGACCTGAAATGTTGAAACTGCTAGAAGAAAACATAGGGAAGACACTTAAAGCCATGGGCACACGCAAATATTTCTTGACTAGAACTCCAATAACACAGGAAATAATAGAGTCAAGAAATGTTTCTGCACACCTCAGGAAACAACTGACAGAGTAAAGAGCCTACAGAATGGAGAAAATCTTTTTCAACCACTCTTCCAACAGATTAATAGCTAGACTATATAAAGAACTCAAAAAACTTAACAGTAAAAAAATCAAACAATCCAATCAGTAAATGGACAAATGAATTGACCAGACACTTCTCTAAAGAGGTAGTACAAACGGCTAATAAGTGTATGAAAAAATGTTCAACATCTTTAGTCCTTAGAGAACTGCAAATTAAAACTAACTTGAGATTCCATCTTACCCCAACCAGAATGGCCATCATTAAGAATACAAAAGACAGGGCCATACAAAAGACAGGGCCGGGGATTTAGCTCAGTGGTTCCAGCGCCTGCCTTGCAAGCACAAGGTCCCTAGTTCGATCCCCAATAAATAAAGAATACAAAAGACAGTAAATGCTGGCAAGGATGTGGGGAAAAGGAACTCTTCTACACTGCTGGTGGGAATGTAAATTAGCACAGTGTCTTACTTACTCTGCTTGTTGCTGAGACAAAATACCCGACATCCACGAGTTAAAGGAGAGAAGGCTTATTCTAGCTCAGTTTGTAAAGGGTTTAGTCCCTGAGTTGGCTGGCTCCAAGGCAAGTGGCACAACAGAGGAGAAACTGCGCATGGCAGAGCAGACAAGAGGCAGCAAGCAGCAAGTCTGCTTTTCTCTTTTTTTTGGTACCGGGGATCCAACTTGGGTCCTTGCCCTTGAGCAGCAGGAAGTGAAACCACTGAGCTAAATCCCTGGCCCTCCTTTTCTCTTTTATCCCATCCAGGCTATAAGCCTTTTGAGAGGTGCCACCCACACCCAGGGTGGGGCTTCCCACTGCCCACACTCGGAACTATGATAAACCAATCAGAGGACTAATTCAGTATATGGACCCTTAATCCCAGTATCACACACCCTTAATCATACTCACACACCCTAGATCGAGCTACCTCTGAAAACTCCCACCTAAGAGTGCATGAGGGGACATCAAGATAAAAGCAGTAGCATAGAGCTACTATGGAAATCAGTATGAAGGGTTCTCAAAAAACTAAAAATAGAGCTATTGTATGACTGAGGTATATCATTTCTTGGTATATTCCCAAAAGAATTAAAGGATACTTGCAGACTCATGTTTGTGTGGCACAATTCACAAAAGCCAAGATACGGAGCCAGCCTAGGTACCTATCAACAGATGAGTGGATAAAGAAAATATGGAATACATACATAATGGAGCACTATTCAGCATAAAGGAGAATGAAATTATGTCATTTACAGAAATCATCATGTTTAGAAAAATAAGCCAGGGGACAGGGATGTACTCAGTGGTGCAGTGCCTGTCTGGCAGTGTGAGGCCCTGAGTTTGATTCCTGGTAGCAAAAAAAAGCCAGACTCAGAAAGAGAAGTATGGCATGTTTCCCCTAATATGTGGAATGCAAAAAAGATAACATGAAAGTAGAAGGGAGACTATTATTAGACAAGGGGAAGGGAACAAGAGGTGGACGGAGGTGGTGTAAGGGAGGGTAATGGAGGAATACATACAATCAAAGTATACGTATGTATAAAAATACCACACTGAAACCCAGTATTTTGGAAAATTAACAGGCATTAATAAAGAATATGTATTTTAAAAAAGAGAAACTGACTTGAGATAAATATAATCTTGTATAAAATACTTCCTTTAATATATGTGTATTCTAACTCAAGTATGAAATCCTTTAAAATATGTATAAAAATAATAATGCATTCTCACAGGCTCCAGCAGGCAGAAGGTCCTCTCTCTTCATTCATACATCATTCTATGAACTGGAGGATGAGTGATGAAGTGGATGCCCTGTGGGGCCTTACATGTGGGCATGGCAGAATTGCACCAATCCCTGAAAAATACCCTGCTGTGTGTTAGAATTATCATAATCATACCAACTAGATCAGGCACACATGAGCTTATCAGCAGAATCCTATGTCAACTAGAAAATGTGTGGACCCCATGGAGCCTGTGAATGGTGCCTACAGATGGCTAGTTCAAGGTCCTTACCCTTCCAGATCCAAAGACTGCCTCCTGGGCATATCTGATGAGACATTCTTTGCAGAACAAGTGAGCATCGGCACACTGTGTCAGCTCCTCAAATGGAAATTCCCCATAGCAGCAGCGGCACTCGATCAACTGGCCATCCTGTGGGCCACCAAAGATACATGTGAACCCCCCACATGCCACACTAGAGTACGGTGGAGGACACATCTCATGTCTCTATAGGCCTCCTGCCCCCAAATACACACTCTGAGGACAAAAGTGAGCCCTAGGAGCCATGAAACAGCAATGAGCAGTTTTTTTCTAGTGAAACCCAGCTCAGGATGCCAGTGTAACATCAACCTATATATATAGGTTATATATTAACCTATATAGCCTATAGCTAAAGATAGCAAACATTTCACATTTTTTGTGTATTCTCTGGAGCAATTCTTTGTATAAACCCATTGCACTCATCCATTCCATGACACTAGGGAAACTATAATATCTGTATTATAGTAATATCAGGTATTATTATACATGACTATAAAAGTAAGGGGTAAGTGGCAGGAGACGTTATCTAAAAGCTTTCAAAAGTTGGATTTGCTCTTTTTGTTATGACACAGGAGTGTGAGGGAGTTGTAACCCAGCCCAAGCTTTATTTTAAGGGACTACTGAAGCCAACTAAAACAGCAACCTGAAGGAACATACCAGACTTTAATCTCTTTATTCACTGAAGTGATGAATCCAGTTCCCTGCCTGTTCCTGCCTGTGCTGGAAAGGCCACAATGCATACCAGCAGACACTGCTCAGAAAGGCACTGGGCCAAGGCCAAATACAGCACTTTCTTTCAACTCCAAAGTGCTTTCTGAGTTCTAAACTTTCTCCTAACAGTCTATGCTGTGGATTCCCAGTGATGTTCTTTAATAAGAACATCTCCATCACTATTTTCCTTTCAACTCTGACTCACACTGGTACTAAGAGTGCCTACACTAGCTCATGTTACTGACTGCAAGCTGGATGAGCTGCCAACTCAGTAGACTGAAGGAGATTATAAAGAGAATGTCTGCCTTTGAAATGCTAAGGTAGTGTGAGATTAAGGAAAAGTTCCTAAGTGCACCCTGGAGAAGTCAACTGGGTGAGACTCCAAAATACCGCCCCCAGATACCTTTTGATACTGTTCTTCATTCATCTGCAGGGCAAGCAAAAAGTCTTCATGCTGAAGAACAAAAAACAAAAACAAAAATCACACTTTCAGATACAAATTCAGTAAAGATGACAACACACCATTCAGTGTTTTCTTCCATCAACGTGAGTCTATTACTAGTAGGTATCTGCTCAGTTACATGGTTTGGTAGTTTAAAAAGTTAGCTGAGAATAAATATGTAGAGAGAATAAGGGAAGACTGATACACAGAACACTGCTGAAGAGCAAAGAACAGCAAAAGCAAATGAAAGACTAAATGGGCCAAAACCAAGCTTGACAACACACTTTGCTGCCGAGCCTGTAGGGCAACAGCATTTCTGTGTATTACACACAGCACAACCATGAGGGAGGGACTTGGCCTGGATTAACAGTCTCTTGGGAATCTGGCCCAAAGACACCTGGGGCAGAACCCTAAATCGGTGTATGCACACACTTATTTATCACAGCACTAGTCACAACAGTAAAGACCTGGGAAAAGCCCTGAATGCCCATCAATGGGAAAAGTGAGTAACCTCTGGTACTGGAGACAATGGCATAAATCTCTGCGAACTGCTGGGAAATGATCACCAGGACCCAATGAAGTGAAAAGAAGAAGGGGCAGAAAAGTGTGCTACCTTTTGGATAAGAAAGGGGGATAAGTGAAAATACAGAGCCAGGCATAGTGGTGCATCCCTGTAATCCCAGCACTTGGGAGGCTGAGGCAGGATGATTGCCAGGAGTTCCAGGCCAGCCTGAACTACACAGTGAGACCCCCCCCCAAAAAAAAGGAAAATAAGAAAATACATGTACATATTTGGTTGTACATGAAAGATAAACCAAAAACAAGTAGCAAGGTTAAATATGGAGAGGATAACAGAACATGTTGGAGGGACAGGGTAGAAACTAGACCTGTGGACATTTCTTTTTTTTTTTGGTACCGGGGATCGAACTCAGGACCTTGCGGTTGCGCGGCAGGTGGCAGAACCACTGAGCTAAATCCCTGGCCCTCCTGTGGACATTTCTTATTTATTTATTTATTTATTTATGGGGGTACTGGGGATCAAACTCGGGAACTTGCGCTTGTGAGACAGGCAGTGGCATCATTGAGCTAAATCCCCGGCCCGACATTTCCTATTTTATAGTTTTGACTTTAGAACAAAAATTATTTTATTTATTTATTTATTCTATTTTATAGTTTTGACTTTAGAACAAAAATTATTTTATTTATTTATTTATTTTTGGGTACCTGGAATCAAACTCAGGACCTTGCGTTTGCCAGGCAGGCGTGGTGCCACTGAGCTAAATCCCTGGCCTTAGAATTATTTTAATAAATAAGATAAAAAACAAAAAGCTAATTCCCTAAAAGCCAAAAATAAGCAAAAATCAACAGACTTAATGTTTCAAGTTAGCATTACCAGACATATCAAATGACTTTTTTTTTTTTGAGACAATCTCCCTATCTAGTTGAGGCTGGCCTTGAACTTGCAGCGATCTTCCTGTATCAGCCTCACAGGTGCTGGGATTATAGGCATGCACCACCACACCTAGCTTTCAAATGACTTTAAAATACAGTACAGTATATTCTGAGTTTGTATTCTTTTTCTTTCATTTTTATTTTTCTTTTTTTTTTCTTAAAAGGCAGGGTCTTACTACTGTATGTTGCTGAGGTTGACCTCAAACTTGGGGGCTCAAACAATCACCCTCCTGCCTCAGCCTTCTGAATAGCTGGGGTTAGAGATGCATGCCACCACACCTAATTATATGTATATATTTTAAATTTACATTCTTAATTTGATATAATCTGAAAAGAATTACATTATTAAGAACCAAGATTTTTAGCATTAAAAAAAAAACAAGAATTACAAACATAAAATGAAAGGGTTAAAAAAACCCCAAACCATAAACCAAGTTTTAAACAAATCTCAGCATAAAATTCCCAGTAAAGAAAATAAAGCAGTTTCAGAGAAAATGTTGATTCTAAGTCGAGGTCACAGAATGCAGAAGTTGAATCTGAGTCACTTTGGCACACCAGAAAGCAAGGTCAGGAACTACTGAGGTCAGGATAGAGGGACTAACCTGAAGGGCCAGAGGCACTGGCCAGAGATGGGACAATTTGGACATGAAGAATAAGGACTACGATTAATATCTACCAGTTTGCCAATTCTTTAAATACTTTTGTGATGAGATCGGTAGGAACATTAACAAATATGATTCTGTGAAGGATGGATGGATCACAACTTTCCTCAAATTCTGTCTGCCTGAGATCTAGACTTTCATCTCTGCTCAAAAATAATCATTTCAGGGCTGAGGATTTAGCTCAGTGGCACCATACCTGCCTTGTAAGTGCAAGGTCCTAAGTTTGATCCCTGGTAAAACCTCCCTCCTCCAAAATCATTTCAGTTGGGTGCAGAGCCACATACCTGTAATCCCAGCTACATGGGAGGCTGAGGAAGTAGTATCCCAAATTTGAGGCCAGCTGGGGCAATTTAGTGAGATTATCTCAAAATAAAAATTTTAAGAAAGGGCAGGGGAATAAAAAAAAGTGTATGTGTGTGTGGGGGACTGAGGATGTATCTCAGTGCTCCCTGGGTTCAATCTTCAGAACCAGAGGAAAAAAAAAAGTTATTTAATTCACATGAGAAATTGTCTGCCAAATAAGCAATTTTGATTAACATGTTCCCCCTGGCTTGAACTACTGGCGGTACACGCATGACTGTCACATTGGGCGGCTTGTACCACCAGTGGCAGAAGTGGTACAGTCATGCATATATCACCAGTGGCTCAAGCCATCTGGCAGTGAGGCATACGAATTATGGCCTTGTTGTGAATCTGTTAATCAGTTTTTCTGTTAGTCATTTTTTTTCAAGTAAAAAAAGTGTTCTGCAGTGAAAAACAAAACAGGCTAATTTAGCCACCTTCAACTCAGTAACACAAGTGCCTCTGTTCCAGTCAAGAATCACTTGCCCATGTGCAGTGGGAGAACTTTCTGTATAATTTTCATTTTGTCACCCAAAATACTGAAAAGATGTCTTCAGGGGTCAAAATTTTATGAAGTCACACTTCTTTATCAAAGACACCTTTGTGTGAAACTACCATTTAAACAAATGTGAGTGCTGGGTGGTGAGGACAATCGGCGCTCCTGGTCTGTTCCCTGCTAAGGCATCCTCACTGTGCAAATTCCACACAGCAGAACAAAGCCAGCATTATGGACTATTTTGGCACCATTATAAAAGAGCTGTGACCTCACAGACTCCCTAGTCTTAGGGAATCGAGGGATCTGGGATCACATCAGAGCCACTGGTCTGGAAGATAATTATGAAAAAGGCTACAAATGGAATCCCTCTCTGGCTTTTCTCCATCAACAGAGGTTGAGGGAGGCAAAAGAGATGTTACTAATCTTCAGTTAAAATTGTTTTTTTTTATTCATTAAGTTTATTGGTACATTTTAGGTATACGTTATGATCACATTCATCATTGGGAATTTGTACCTTTACATAATCTAACTTGGTTCTTCTTTTTTCCCCATTCCCCTTCCCTCCCTCCACCCCTCCCTATTTACAAAACACTTTGTTTTCACTTTTCCTTTTTTTCTCCTATTTTTTCTTTCCCTTCTTCTCTCCCATTTCCCCTTCCCCTGTGAACTTTTTCTTCCTATTTTACATTATCTATTCAATTAAAATTCTTTAATAGCAATCTGGCTTATAAAACTGAACTTTAGTCATTATCATTACAAAACCCAGTTTTTCTTTTTAAACACTGTCATGTATTAGTCACTCTAAAGAAAAGAAAAATCTTGGAGCTGGAGATGCAGCTAAGTGGTAAGTGCTTGCCTAACTCTGGGTTTGATCCCGAGCTCTATCCTCACAAACAAACAAACAAACAAACAGGGTAAAAAACAACAAGAGAAGAAAAATCTTAAAAGATAGTCTTGGTACCAAGCCCTAACAGTGAGCAAGCCAGAAGTGCAGAAACAGCCCAAAGGCAGAGCCTGTCTTCCTACCTCTGCCAGCTCTTTGATTTTCCGCTCGTAGAACTCCTGTTCTTGCTGCACAGCTGGAAGGAGGGCACACTGGTCATAGGATCTACAATGTCGCCGCTTATTTTCCAGAAAGAACATCCTCTTTTCTATTTTGATGTCACCTAGAAGATATGTAACAATGCAAAATCATGCAGACAGCTGTTTGCTAGGAATCCAGGGTGGCTACTCTGTCTTCTGATTTTCACCCTGCCCCCAGTACATTTCAGGACTCCCCCTGTAACCTATTCTGTCTGGAGAACATTGTGCTCTTCATCACTAACCTACCACACACCTGTCCATCACCACCTTTCTCCACCTTGTATGCTCTAACTAGAAAGCTCTCCTACGCTGTCAGTAGTGCACTGTGTGAATATAAAAAGCAGAACCTCAGCTCAGGAACTTAATTCTTTCCATAATTCTGGTCTCAAACAGAACTGGATGAAAACTGAATCAAATTCAATGGTTAGGTTCAATGTTAACCTTATGGGGAAATTTGATTCGGTTCTTGTCCAATTTGTTTGTGACCAGAATTGTGGAATTAAGTTTGTGAACCAAGGTATCACTGTATTACCCATTCTTCCAATGAAGACACTGGATTTATGGCTTTTGCTTATTATGAACAGAGCTGCTCAGAGCTATTCACTGGTGAATGTATGTCTGGATTCAACTGAAGGAAGAGAACCACCACATCATGGGATACACTTACTTTAAGCTTTAGAAAATAAGACCAGCTTTCCAAAGCTGTTGTTCCAGTTTACATCCTCCCTGTGAATGCAGTATGTGTGAGCTCCAGAAGCCCTCCATTCTTGCTAACACCTGGTGTCACTGATTTTTAACTTTAGCCACTTTCAGTAGATGTGAATGCACTGTATACATGCGTATCAATTATGAAAATCTTCACACAGACATAAGAGCTGAAAAAGGAGTGCCTAGATTTGCTACAATATATTAGGGCCGGGGATTTGGCTCAGTGGTTCAGGTGCCTGCCTCGCAAGTGCAAGGTCCCGAGTTCGATCCTTGGTACAAAAAATAAATAAATAAATGACACTTCAAATAAAAGCAGAATAACAAATATCAGGTAAGTAACTTATCTGTTTAGGTTTTACATTTCTTCCACTGATTTGGCAACTTATGTTCTAGAAAACTATTCGGTTCAGGTTTTTAAATTTATTTACTACCAGTCTGTTCTTAGTAACCTCTTGATTGCAACAATATTTACTGCACTTATTTTCTGGTATACTTTGTTTTTATTCTCTTTTTCTCTTATTCTCATGAGGTTTTAAAAATTTAACCTTTTTATTTCAAAAGCCAGTTTTTTATTTTATGAAAATAGTAAAGCATGGTATTAAAAGTTGGCTTTGAAGTCAGATCAGCAAGGCTGGAATCCCAGCTCAGCTAGGACTAGCTATGTATCACTTAGTGAGTTATTTAACCTCCCGGGCCTTCAGTTTTTTAATGCGTAAAATGCTAATAATGGAATATTTTTCTAATAAGGTTGAAACACATACAACTGAATCTACGTAATGCATTTAGGAAGAGTTTGGCCTATTAAGTACTCAATAAATGTCACCTGCTTAAGTGGAAAAAATTAAGCTTTGCTGTTTATTATTCCTTTGTTTTTACTCAGTTCTTCAAGTTAAAGTCATAAAATTTATTATCACTCTTGCAACCAAATGCAATTAAGTCTACAAAATTCCTTATAATTTCTTTTCCTGTGCTCTATGAGCTTTGCTGTTTTTTGAGGCAGGGTCTTGCTATGACCTTGAACTCACTATGTAGCCCAGGCTGGCCTCAAACTCACAGTGATCCTCCTGCCTCAGCCTCCCGAGTGCTGGGATATGTAGTTTGTTTTTTGGTACCAGGGATCCAACTCAGGACCTTGCCCGGCCCAGGGGATATGTGGTTTGTAAAGTAAATTTTCAAATGATTGGAGACTTATGTGCAGTTGTAAGTACAGAGATCTCCTACTCAGATTTCCCTGAATGACAACAAGCTGCAAAACTATAGGACAATGTCACCACCACAATACGGACAGTGACAGTCTCGATATAGGATGTACAGTCCATCCAGGGAATCCCTCCTGTGGCGTCTACAGCCACACATTCCCTCCCTTCCATCAGCAACCTTTTCTGAGTCCCTGCCAACTATGACCCTGCTTTCCATTTCTGTAATTTTGTCATTTCAGGAATATTAAGTAAACTATACAGGATGTTAACTTTTAGAATTAGTTTTTTATCTTCAGCTTAATTTTCTGGAGATTTATCCAGCTTGCTGCATATATCAGTAACAGTTTCTTTTTGTTGCTGAATAGTCCATGGTATGGGCTGGAGCTGTAGCTCAGGGGTAAAGTGCTTGCCTAGCCTGAGTTTGATTCCCTGTAACCACCCCTCCCCTGAAAGTATTCTAAGGTATGGTAGTGTTATAGTTTAACTGTCACCATTTGAGGGCATCTTTGTTTTGGGCTATCTGAATAAAGTTGCCATGAATGCTCATGTACAGGCTTTTTATGAAGCTAAGTTTCACTTCTCTGGGATAGTTGCTCACAACTTCTGGGTCATATTGTAGCCATGTTCTTAGTTGTTTTTTTTTTCAGTACTGGGGATCAAATTCAGGACCTCGTGCTTGCCAGGCAGGTGCTATGCCACTGAGCTACATCCCTGGCCCAACACATGCTTAGTTTTTTGTTTTGGTACCGGGGATCAAACTCAGGTCCTTGCGCTTGCGAGGCAGGCAGTGGAAGCACTGAGCTAAATCCCCTGCCCAACATGCTTAGTTTTTAAACAAGCTGCCGAGGTGTTTTCCAGAATGCCCATACCATCAGACACCAGCAATGCACCAGTGACAGTTCTCTGCATCCTCACCGGCTCTGTGTCGTCACGAATTGTAGCCATTCTAAAAGGTGTGTAATGATCTCTCACTGTGCTTTTCATCTGCATTTATCAAACAGCTAGTGATGCTGAAAACCTTCTGTGTATCTGCCATCTGTACATTCACTTTGGTGATATGTCTGTCTTTTATTCATTTTCTAATTGGACTTGCTTTTCTACTACTGAGTTTTCAGAGTTCTTTATATTCTAGTCCTTTGTCAAGGGATGTGGTTGTAAAGATTTTACCTCAGTCTGCAGTTTGTCTTTTTATCCTCTTAAAAAGGTCTTTTGAAGACAGAAGTGTGG